GTTAAGGTTTGTAAGCTACCCCTTAGTTCCATATTTAAGAAAACCAAAAATAATATTTTAACTTCCTTTGGAAACATCAAAATACGAGGTTTGTAAGTTCCTTCTAAATATGATAGGCTAAAGTTGAGGTTTGTAAGCTCTTCCTTAATTATGTGTACAAGAAAGTTAAAATGTGTCGCTCGGGTAAGATAATCATAAAAACAGAAACTTAAATAACAAAATTATAAATGACCCATATGTATATCTGAATAGGTACTAAATGGGTTAACTTTCTAATTAAATACTTACCATAATTTCTCCCCATTTTCTCACATCAAAAAGAAATAAAAAGAGAAGAAGAAAAAAATTACAGTCATAAATGCATAACATGCCATCATTACATGATCAGTTTCCAAGAATTTAAAAAACAATCAAGTAACAAGGGCCATTAAGCATTGTATAGTGCATGCTTTAAATTTTTAGTGGTCGTTACTATTTCAAGAATCAAGCAAGGATTTTAATCAGTCGTTTGAGTTACTCATAAGTAGGGGTGTTCATGGGTGCGGGTCGACCCGCAAACCCGCCTACCCAAACCGAACCAACCCACTAATTACCCGGACCCATTCATTTACGGGTATACCCGACCCAACCCGTAACAACCCGTATAGATTTGGTTCGGGTATTGAGTTTTAGTTTCTAAACCCATGAACCTGTTGACCCAACCCGTTGACGTGGCATAATTAATTATTATTATTATTATATTATTATTTATAAATTTTAAAGTTGCTATGACTTTGTAAATTGTAACGTACACAAAGATCTTTTGCACTTTCCTTCCAGTTTCCAATCACACATTAAATTATTATTATTATTATTATAATTAAACATTATTATTAATATTAATCATGCTTGCTTGACTTATGCACTTCTAGTTTACACTTTACTGCCTTTTTATTTTTTTAATGAATCTTTATTAACTAATAATAATTAAATATATATTAGAAACTTACTAAACTAAAGACAATACCACTTAACCTAACCCTATTTTTTTACTACGGCAAATCTCAAACGTCACCACTCCTCTTTCTCTCACGATTTTTTTTTTTCATTTTACTCTCTCACATTCCAATTCCATCTTGCTTTCGAAAATCCACAGTCTATACTTTGACTCTCTCATAGTTTCGTCTCCATATTGAATAAGGTTTTATACTTTTTATAGTTCTACAATATATTTATTTCAATGCAATATATTGTTTTTACAGTATGTACTTCAATAGTTTTATATCAATGTAAAATATGATGATAGGTTCAATGTAATGTACTATTTTGTTTCATATGATGCAAAGTACTATTTTGTTTCATATGATGAAAATATATTTTGATGCAAAGTCCTGTTCTGTTTCATATTATTAATTTAAATATATTTTGTTTAATGTTGTTTTAATAATAATTTATATTAAAAATTGTTTTTTTATAGAAAATGGAAGTGGAACAATCACAAATTGTCAGTGAAGATGTTGCTCATCCACTTGAACAAGAGCAAGAAGTTCAACAAATACAAGGAGAAGGGTTGTCATCATTGCCACCAAGTGCACTAATAGAGGTAAGCTATGTAAGTATTGTGGGAAACAATATGCTGCAAATAGTGGTAGTCATGGCACTACTAACATGCATAAACATAACATTTGAAAGTGTGCCTGAAAAATCCAAATAGGGTAGTTGATAAGAAACAAAAAACTATAGCTATTGGAAAAGAAAGTGAGGATGATCCTAATAGTGTTAGCTTGAAACTTGTTGATTTTAATCAAGAGAGGACTAGATTAACACTTGCAAAGATGATAATCATTGATGAGCTCCCTTTTAAATATGTTGAAAATGAAGGATTTAATATGTTCATGAAAGAGGCTCAACCAAAATTCAAAATTCCATCTCGTGTCACTGTTGCCAGAGATTGTTTATGCTTGTACTTCGATGAGAAAGAAAAATTGAAATCTATGTTGTCTGCTAATAAACAAATGGTGTCTCTTACCACTGATACTTGGACATCGATTCAGAATATGAATTATATGTGTGTTACAGCTCACTATATTGATGACGAGTGGAATTTAAAGAAGAGTATATTAAGCTTTGGTATAATTGCTGACCATTAAGCTTTGGTATAATTTAAAGAAGAGTACAGGAGGTCGTGTCCTTGATTCATTTCGTAGTTCCTTGAATCCCTCTACCGTTGAAGCTTTGATTTGTACTCAAAATTGGATCAAATCTCCTAAGGTCATTGATTTAGAAAAAGAGTTGGTTGAATTGGAAAAGGTTGAGTCAGGTATGAATTATATGTTTGAATTTTAAAATCTATTTTATTTTAGTATTACATTACATTATTCTTATTAGTTGTTTGTGTTTACATATATAGAGTTAGCTGAATTAGTTTCTATTGATGTTGGCATTACTGCGGTTGAACTCAATACAACTGTTACTACTAGATTTTAAGGTATTTTCTAGTGTTGTTTTTTTTCTTCTTCTTTTGACTATTGTTGCTTAAACTTTTAACTGTTGTTGCTGGATTTTATGTTGTTGCTAAACGTTTCATTGTTGTTGCTGGAATCTTTTACAGCTACTGTTGCTGGATTTTCGATTGTTGCTAAACCTTTCACTGCTGGTGCTGGAATCTTTTATAGTTGCTGTTAGATTTTTGTGCTATTAGACCAATATTGGACCAATACATCTATGTCATTTTAAGACTAAGTGATGTTTATTTGCTTTTGAATTATTTAGAATTTATGAATTTTATGGAAATGATATTTTATGGAATTTTATATATTATTAAGTGTTAATATATATGATAGTTTACGGACCTACTTTTAAGCATGTGCTAGAAAAGGTAACATTTGAGTATCAAAACAACTAATATATACTGTATATTATTATATATTTGTTTTACATATGTTGATATATATTTGTAATGGATAACATTTGAGTATCAAAATAACTAATAAATTTTTATAAATTAAGGTATATTAATGAAAATATATAAATAATTAATGGTGTATATGTATCTTAATATTTTTTATGACAAAGAAAATACATTTCAAAATTTTAATTGTTATATTTTTAATTATTCTATTTTATATGTAGGATTTGTCTCCACTACGTAAATAATTTAATTGTTTGAAATATGCAAAATTATATTGAATTGTGTTATAGATTTTTTAAATTGAAAATAATAATTATTATATACACAACCCGTGGACCCAACCCTACCCAACCCGTAAATATCCGGGTTGATTCGGGTCGGTTTTTAAAGTAGAATTACAGGTTTGATGATAAACCCAACCCATTGAAAGTTGAACAGGTTGGGTAACGGGTTAAGGCGAACCCGGTCCAACCCAACCCGCGTACACCGCTACTCATAAGTCATTATAAAAACAATCAAAACCTAGCTCATTTTCATCAACATCCACCAGAGTCATGAAGTCATCAGCTGAAAGTCAAAGACTTTTGTCGTGACAGAAATATTTGAGAGCTCTACAAGATATAGTGTTCAAAACCAACATAAATGAGTTGTTTCTGAGTCATCCACAATTGGGCTTGTGCCCCCTGTAAAGCTTACTTCTGACGAGGCTATGTCAGCAGTTCCAAAACAACCTACAGGGGTAGGTCCATCAGAAGCTGTGATGAAGTCAAGGAAGAATTTGAAGAGATCAAAGAGAATAAGACAGTTCAACGAAATGTTTCACTGTTCAATCCTAGAGGTAAAAGAGAAAGAAGCTGATGAAGATGGACTAGATATAAATTATAATTGTTATTATCATAAGCCTCAGGATGACTTAGATAAAGATCTATTCTAAGATCATACAATTCCCTATGAAAAATATTTTGTAATCCTTCTACTTTAATCAATGAAATAGTAATCTTGACCAATTTATTTATTAAATGCAAATACTCTCAATAATTTCCTTTTTGATTTTCTGATAAACATAAATGAAGTTAAACTGAAACTAGAAGTAACAGTTAAATATGTTAACTATAATATTCATAGTTGTTAAAGAATCTTTAATAAGTAAGAGTGTTAGATAACATTTCCAAAATTTATCATTTAAGATATTGATTAGACTTAATCAATATCATAATAACATATACTTATCATGTTTTTATTTATTATAATACTAATTTATAAACTATAACTTCAAAATATGTAATGCCAAACAAAATGTACAATAAAAAGTTGTAATTTTCAATATATAAAAAGAAAACCATAAATAATTAAAATAAATAGTATTTCCATTGTGCCAAATTATAAGTCACTTTGTCAAAAAATTTTATTCTAAATTATAAGTCACCTTACATTTCCAGAACAATATTAATGACATTTTTTTTAATATATCCTCAAATATTTATTATTTTTTGAATCCTTTTTATAATTAATCTGTAATACAATTTAAATACATTAATTATTTAATAAATCGTAAAAGTTAAAATGACCAAATTCAATTCTTTTAATTTTTCTATGTGAAACATTACTATAAAATTATATATAATTTATCTTTTTTATATAATAATAATAAATCTTTTTAATTTGTATAAAATGATTAAAATATCTTATAATTTGAAAAAGAGGAAATATTTTACATCTATTATAAGAATTAGTTGTAATATAAATAAATCTTACAAATAGTATTAAAACAAAACAAACACAATTTTTTTATTGAAAAGACTAAATAATATTTAATTATGTTTTTAATAAAATAAAATAAAATAAAGTTAAAAAAGGAGAAGAAGATGTAACAAGAGATTGATAAAGAGACAAAAGTAGTCCGCGTGTTGAATTCATACTTCCATTTGCGGTGTCTACCGGCTACTCGGTTTAGCGTTACCCTTCTCTCTTCTTCTTCTTCTTCCTCTTGTTGTATTATTATAATAATAATAATAATAATTATTATTCTGTATATATCTATGTAACTATAGCTTAGGGTTTCATTCTGTTTGTAAGAGATATACTATCAGATTCATTCAGAGTACCGATAATGGATCGAATCATCGGCGAAAAGTTCAAGCTAGGTCGAAAGATCGGAAGCGGATCCTTCGGTGAAATCTATCTCGGTGTGTAATTTTCTTCAATCAAATCGATTCTCGAACTGTTTATGTTGTTATTACTTGTTCTGATTTTGATTCTATTTGATTCTGTAGCGAGTCATATTGATACGTTCGAGATCGTTGCAGTCAAAATCGTACGTTTCGTTCAATTTTTTTTTTTAATTTGATGGATAAATTGGAGTGTTTATGGTTTTGGATTTGTTTGCTGATTGTTATTGGTGGTTTTGTGATTGTTGCAGGAGACTGGGAAAACGAAGCATCCACAATTGCTTTATGAAGCCAAACTCTATAATATTCTTCAAGGAGGAAGTATGTTTCTTGTGTTTTCTTTTTCTTCATTTTTTGTGTATTGTTATCTATGAAGCACAAGACGGCAAACACTATACAGACACGTCCACACCGGTAATAATTTGACAAAAATGAAGAAATGAAAGGAAATTACAAATATTGGTGTCGCTTTCAGACAATGACACGCTGACACACTTTTTTTCTTTTTTCAGAAGTGTATGTAAGAGTATAGTATAGGTTTGAACTTGTCATTGAGATATAACACAGGAGATATATTTGGTTTTTGAGAAATGAAAAGTGTTAATTTGATGCTACAATATCTTGATTATTGGGTAATTTAGTCTTTTTGGGATATTTTGTTTGTGACAAGTACTAATTTCACCTACATATGAGATATTGTAGCAGCATCAAATAGGTTTCTTATGTGTTTTTAAGGAGACTTGTTTGAGTATTAACTCCAATGGTGTCAAATGACAACAACGTAGTGGAATTTGAACTAATCACTATTGTTTTGCAATGCTCTATTGGGTGTGAAGTGTTGTTAAATGATGGGGCAATATTTCTCTAGGGTAATGGAATTTGAACAAAACACGAATTTTTGCAATCTGCTATCGACAACATTGATTTATTCCGATAATAATAAAGAATGATCTTTAAACAATGTATTTATTCTCGCTCTTGTTGTTGTGAGTGAGTTGGTATTGTTATTGTTACGATGTTGGTGAGATTTGAATTGAAAATGTTGGATTTTTGTTTATTGCAGGTGGTATCCCAAGCATAAGATGGAGTGGTGTAGACGGGGAAGACAATGTGCTTGTTATGGATTTGTTGGGGCCTAGTCTAGAGGATCTTTTTGTTTACTGTGGGAGGAAGTTCTCTCTCAAAACTGTCTTGATGTTGGCTGATCAAATGGTAACCCTCGTCACTTTTAGTTCCGGATTTTCTGTATCCTTAAGATGTTTCTTAGTTTTGTCTGGCCCATAGAGAATATGTCATTGCTGCCACTGCATTTTATGTCTTGTGCGGTTATGATGCCAAGTGAGGGAAGTGTGCATTTGTAATGGTTACATGTTTTTTCTTTGGGTGCAGATGACCAGAATAGAGTATGTGCATTCTAAAGGATTCCTACATAGGGATATTAAACCGGATAACTTTCTCATGGGACTTGGTCGGAAGGCAAACCTGGTGAATATCCTGTTTTTAATGGTTTCCCTACATTTAGGGTTGACTGACCCTGTCATTTCCCATACTATTTGTTGCATCAAATTGACGTGATTATGTTGTACATGTCAGGTTTATGTAATTGATTTCGGGCTTGCAAAACGATATCGGGACTCCGCAACCAATCGCCACATCCCCTACAGGTTTTTAACTCTACCATTGTTAATTCATTCTCTTTGTTTCCTTTTTTTACTGGGTTTGATATTATGTTGAAAATTTATTTCTTCTGATTCTGAGTTATTATCATATTCCAACCAGTTTTGTAATCAATTTAAATTAGCACATTATATTTTGTGTGTGGATATCTCTCCTTTATCTCTTTTCTTCTCATCCCCTAGAGATACCCAAAATTAATACTTAACTGTACCACACAGGGAGAACAAAAACTTAACAGGTACTGCACGGTATGCAAGCTGCAATACTCATCTTGGGATTGGTAAGTCGGAAGAAATTATTTTAACCTTTCACAACAAACTAAATGCAATTATTTTCTTTATGTTTACTGCCTGCCTATTTTATTTGTAGAGCAAAGCCGGCGGGATGATTTGGAGTCACTAGGGTATGTGCTGTTGTACTTCCTCAGAGGAAGGTATGGCATTCTTATCTAGCTATTTTGCCTCCAGAAGCAGTTTTTGCATTTACCTATTGAGAGCAACATAATTATGTTTTGACTTTTGTCTTGCTGAATATTTGTGTTTAGCCTTCCTTGGCAAAACCTAAAGGCCGCGACGAAGAAGCAAAAATATGATAAAATATGTGAAAAGAAAGTATCAACTCCTATTGAGGTAAGAATTTGCCCATATATCTATTCTGAAGGTTTTTATTTTTATTTTTTATCACAATCATATTTGTCTTCTGTTTTATGTAGGTTTTATGCAAATCTCATCCTGTAGAGTTTGCTTCATACTTCCATTACTGCCATTCTTTGACTTTTGATCAGCGACCTGATTATGGATTCTTGAGGCGCCTCTTTCGAGAATTATTTGCTCGTGAAGGTGATTATAGATGTTCATTAAGTTATCTTTATATTCTATACTAGCCATGTTCAATGCCCGAATCATAAGCAAACGAAGTTTGGTGGGTTCAATTCATATTTCACAAAGACGGGGATTCGAATCCCACTTCCGATCTAAGAAATTCCATGACCCTAATGAGCTTCTAGGACTCAATTCACCTAAATTTTATTTTATAAAACAATGCCAAATCATAACAAAAAGTGATGTTATATGGGCATTTTGTTTTTATTAATATACATGGTCCTCCATTATGCAAAATTTATATTTCGTTGTGGTAAAGTTAGCTAGATTTGTCCTCGTTTTCATATCTATGCTTAAATGTATCTTCCCCACACAGTTCTTCCCTTTTTGTGCATGACAGGTTACAAATTTGATTATGTATTTGATTGGACAATTTTAAAGTACCAGCAGTCTCAAAAGAGTAGAGTCCAGCCTCACATATCCGTAAGTATATTTGCTAGATTTGTGTGTGAATAATGGGGTTTGGGTCTTCCCGTGCATCTGAAATATTCATATTTTGTCATATTGCAGCCAGTTCCTGTAGTGAGCAACAACCGGGCAATGCCCATGGATGTTGATAACCACCAAGGTTGGTGCTTTTTGAAAAATACTTTGTTGTTCGGCATAATAAATTGTCCTGTTCACTATTACTAATTGACAAAGATTAATGCTTATTCAGGGGATATCTCAGCCGAGCAAATTAAATCAGACAATGCTACTACTTCTGGTGTTAAGTTTCAATTTAAATCATCCGGTGGTAAAAATATAGCTTCTGAAAACTCTCTTGGCAAAAATGTAAGTCATCTTAAGTTCTCATTCTTTGCTACTGACTCTGAAACACTTGGTCACAACTGTTTAGTTGCACACATTTATGTTTCAAACCTGTGAATAGACTAGCGTTTAATGAGCAATGTTTAATCTGTTTATTATTTTTGTAGATTTTTGGTGAAGCACCCATCCCTTCTACTTCATACTCTTTTGAGGCATCAAGAAGAAACTCCTTGAAGCCTTCCCCGTCCCCTGAAGCTGCAAACCATAGACATGGGCAAGGGAGCAGTAAAATTGGTCCTTCAAGTAGTCGGATGAATGTTCTGCACTTAAATTCTGCTAAGTGAATGTCCAATATGGTAATTTTCTGGTTTGTATTGTGTATATGCTGCATTGAGTACTATTTTCTATATATGACCCACTCATATCATTGACCACTGTTTATGTTGTGCTGTGTTTCTAGGTGTGAATGTGATCAAGATGCCCTGCATACAAACATGGAGACTGCATATTTATGGGGTATTGCTGCCCATGGAGACTACAAATGTGCTACAAGGTTGATAAATTTTCTTAGCTCATCATTTGAGGCCAATTTATGTTGCTCATTCCTCCCTAAGGTGACTGCAAATGATTGTTTGGTATAGAATACAGACTGCACAGGCTTGGCTTCTTCGCTGTAGATAAATTTCAAATATGGCACACAGTAATCTTGTGTATCTATGTTTTTATGTAAAATTAATGTGTGATGTGGCAGCATTTGCCCCTTTTGCCACTTGTGATTTGTTCCGTATAATAAGTGGTAACATAGTTTGTTTTAAATTGTTCGATAAAATTACAAATTGCAGGTGTGTTAAGATACATTTGATCTCGGATTAGCATTTTTGTTGCTTATTTAATTTTATCTTGTATTTTAACTTCCTACATAAGAAATAGTGCACTTGTAGTTATGTTGTCTATATATCATGTTTTGAAGCATCCGGCAATGAAATGGTAAGCAGCTTGTCGATGACCTTGTTTTCAGAATGTATAACTTACTGAATCAGAGACAAAAGTTTTGGCGAATGACTCCCAAAATATTGGTTTCTTCACAGGCATCAAAGGTAGTTTTGGTGGTATCTTTTCAACTCTTCAAAAAGTTCCAGCATGAAGAAATATTTTCCATCTTCATATTTTAACTTTAGGTTTAAATCTTTGTTATACAAGAAACATTTTCAATGTCCTACCAATTTCAAATTTTATTGAATTACATGTAGTTTGACCATGATCCTCGAACATTTCTTGATTTGTAGGTTTTGAATTTGAAAGCCAGCCAGGTTCCATCTGGTTTTGTTTCAATATTATCAAGGTGTGGACAAACTGCAATACATATGATGATAGTCCTTAGAAAATTAATTAATTCCAAATGATTGATACCATTATTAGTTTACATTTTTTTTGCAGGATCTCTTTTTAAAATCTCTATTGGCTGAAGGATGAAATATCAATATGCAGCCAATTAGCATTGATATGGATGCTACCAACATTTCTCTTGTTTCAGGATTTTATTTTATTTATATTTATTTATTTTAATTTATAAAATCTATATGGACTAAAGAATGAAATAAAGTAAAATACATTTCTTTGGATGCCATCAATTAAACCACACCTCTACATATAGAATCTAATGTTTGATGTCGTTGATCACTAGAATTTTAACCCATTAGAACATTTAAGTCAATTTTCTTACTTCACTCCTGTTATAAATTTGTGAATATGATTATTTAATGTTATATTGTAAAGAATCTTTTCCACTTGACTATCATCAGATATCATTAAGGAAGTCAAAGCTACATTTTTATATAAAAATAAACAGGATGGTGTTAAATTTGATGAACTAGATATTGTAATATATTTTACTAACTTGAAGATGTAGTTTATCTTTTTTAAATAGTCGACAACAATTTTTAGTAACATACATAGATGAAAAGTGATGCTAATTAATTTAAAATTCAATCGTAAATTAATGAAACTTGTGAGTTGTGATAAAATTGAGTTAAGAGTCACCAATTTGAAGCTGTATTTGAGATAGGATATACTCTCTCTTCTGGTCCTTAATTGATGAAAAAAATAAAAAGAATGAATGCTCCAATTTTTTTTATGAACTAGAAAAATTAATACTTGATGCAATTTATTCCACGGTGCATTTTATTGTGACAACAAGTTGAAGTGTCACACTCTTTTCATATGTTTGAATCAAAATAACTGAATAAATATATTAAAAATAAGACAACAAATTTATGTGTCTCACTTTTTTTAAATTGATGTCATCAAGAACTAATTAATATATAAGATTGATTTTTTTTTTTAAAATACAAGAAATTCTATCAGATTTACGAAATAGAGGAAGAAGTCCTATCAGATTTACGAAAGAGAGGGAAGAAAAAGAATCAAGATCGATTATAACTATTTTATTATTCACTTTCTCTATTAGGATTCAAAAATTACAAGTGAATATCAACAATCAAAACTCTCTCAACAACCTAAGAGAAACAACCTACTTATAGACTAATAAGCTAACTTAAGCAACAAGCTAATTTAAACAATTGGGCTAACAAATTGACCAAATTCGACATGCTAAAACAGATTTTGATTACATCATGCACATCGTTGACACCTGCATGCTTGAACAAACTTTGACTTCAAACATGCACATCCATGTCAACCTATGAAGCTATCCCCGTCGAGACTAGAGTTCGATCCAAATACCACAAATCTCCACCTTAGAACAAACTCTACACTAACAAGGGAGTGAATTAGCTTTCATCCTGCAGCTTTATCAACTATTTACAGTGAAAAAACTTGCTACTTGACAATGTCTTGTTGATCATATCAACAACATTGTCATCATTTAAAAACTTCAACACTTAGACTTCTTCACGCTCGATTATCTCTCTAACAAAGTGTAGCCTCACATCAATGTGCTTGGTTCACTCATGATAGGCTGAATTCTTCGACATGTGTATTCCACTTTGACTATCACATTTAACAGTGATAGCCTGACCTTGAAGTTTCGGCTTCTTAGCAAAACCTTCAAGCCACAATGCTTCTTTCACAGCTTAAGTGAAGACAACATACTTCGCTTCAGTGGCTGATAAGGCAACAGCCTTCTGAAGTGTTGCTTTCCAACTGATTGTTGTGCCAAACATAGTGAGCATATATACAAAAATATATTTTCTAGAATTCATACAACCTGCATAATCAAAGTCGACAAATCCTTTGATTTTGACTTGTTATCATCACCACATGCTTCACCATAAATCAAGACTCTGCTTAGAGATCCACTTATGTACCTTAAAATCCACTTTAATGCTTGCCAATGCGCCTTCCTAGAATTGACCATATACCTGCTTACAAGGCTCACTCCGTACGCTATGTCTGGCATCGTACATACCATATCATATATCAAAGAACCTACTATACCAGCATATCGAATGCTATTCATATAGGCTCTTTCAAATTTAGTACTAGGACTTTGTGTCGTACTTAGCTTGAATTGAGGATAAGTTGGTATTACAATAGGCTTTGAATTCGACATACCAAACTTGTCGAGAATCTTCAGTAGACATGTCTCTTGAGATAAGCATAACATCTACTACTTTCTATCTCTTAGGATGTCAATCCGAAGAATCATGGAGGTAGCTCCCAGATCCTTCATGTCGAACTCCTTATCGAGTTCAGTCTTCACCTTCATAACATATTCTACATTGTTGCTTGCTATGAGGATGCCATCTACATACAACAACAAAATAACAAGTAAATTTCTAGGTCAATATCTGAAGTAAACAGAGTGGCCGAACTGCCTCATAGTAAAACCTATATGTTCCATGAACTTGTCGAATCTCCTATTCCATTGTTGAGGAGATTGTTTAAGGCCATATAGCGACCTATTCAGCTGGCACGCATAATCTTCTTTTCCTTTTTCTGCATACCCTTCAGGTTGCCTCATCAGGATTGTTTCATCTAGATCGCCATACAAGAAGGTCTTCTTCACATCCATCTGTTCCAGTTCTAGGTCGAACTTTGCCACCATGGCTAACAACATTCTAATGTATCTATGTTTTATAAGAGGTGAGAACACATCATTGAAGTCGACACCTTCTTTTTGAGTGAACTCCCTAGCAACTAACCTTGCCTTAAATCGCTTCGACATTACTTCTTCCATTCCTTCCTTAACCTTGAAAATCCACTTACAACTGCCTAAATTGGCTCCCGCATGTTTCTCAATCAGCTCCCAAGTATGATTATCATGAAGAGATTTCATCTTATCATCCATGGCTTTCTGTCATTCAGTCTTGTTTCAACTCCTCAAAACTTCCTTGTAATCTCTGAGTTCTTCATCAAGGACCTCACTTGCAGAGATTAAGACATAAGTTATGAGATATGCATAACCAAATCTCTGAGGTGGCCTGATGAATCTTTTTTAACTGTCTCTTACTAGCAGGTAGTCATTATCAGTCTCCTCATCTTCATCAGTAACTTGTGTTTCTTCTTCGACTGCATTTAGGTTATACAATTAAACATCACTATGCTCCACCTCAATATGAATCTCTTCTTGTTCCATATCTTCTACAGAGATCTCTGCATTTCGATCAGCATCATCAATTTTCTTGAAATCCATCTCAACTTCATTGAAAACCACATCTCGACTTGTGATATACCTCTTGTGACCTGGATCTAGGCACTATAACCTATAAGTTTTGACTCCTTCAGGGTATCCAAGGAACATACATCTCAGAGCTCTAGGTTCGACCTTGTCTTGCCTAATGTCAGCATATTCTACACAACCAAATACTCTAAGTCTGTCGAGATTAGGTGGATGTCCCGATCAAACTTTTTCAAGTGTCTTCATCCCCAAAGCAGTCGAAGGACACCTATTTATAAGGTATGCTGCAGTCACAACAGCCTAGACCCAAAATACCTTATTCAGTTCAGGACTAACTAACATGCATCTAACTCTTTCCAGAATGGTTCAATTAAACCTTTCAGCTAAACCATTTTGTTGGGGAGTACTTGCAGTAGTTATATGCCTTGCAATAACAAATGCAACACAATAGTTGTCGAAGACCTCACTGCAAAATTCAAGACCATTGTCAGTCCTCATCCTCTTGACCTTCCTGCCATTTTGGTTTACGACCAGGATCTTCCATCTTTTGAAATTTTCAAAAGTTTCGTCCTTAGTCTTTTGGATGAATATCCATAACTTTATAGAATAATCATCAACTATGGATAGGAAATACTTTGCACCTGAGTGTGAAGGATTCCTTGTAGATCCTCAAAGATCATCATGAATGTAATCAAAAGATCCATGTGTTCTTTGTTGACCTTTATTAAACTTCACCTTACAGGATTTACCAAATACAAAAGATTCACAAAACTCCAGTTTTTCGACCTTGTCACCACACAACAGATTTTGTTTCGACAATTCGACCAGACCTCTTTCGCTGACATGACCAAGTCGGTTGTGTCACACCTCAGTTTTCGACACAGGTTTTGTGGATGCCACATCTGTTGAACCACTTACAATCTTAACCTCAAGGGTATACAAGCCTTGTTTCTTCACGCCTCTCAAGACTTCCTTCGAACCCTTCATTAATCTTAAAATACTTTGCTCTCCTTTGAAAATATACTCTTTCTTGTCGAATTCACCAAGAGAAATCCAAATTCTCTTAAGCTTAGGTACATACCTGACATCAATCAATAGCCGTATTGACTCATCATGGAGTTTGGATCTCACAGATCCAATACATGCAGTTTTGCAAGCTTTGTTGTTTCCCAGTAGCACCAGTCCACCATCTTGATTACATAATTCCTCAAACAAGTATTTGTTTGGAGTCATGTGACAAGTACATCGTGAATCCATAATCCACTCCTTGCTAGAGTCGCTGCTTAAAACCACCATGATTATTCAGTCGAACAGGGCACACCTTTCTTGTGTGACCCTCCTTCTTACAATGATAACACCTAATAGCAGGAACATTACCACAATAAGAATTCTATAGAACTTTGCCCCTCCTTTTCTCAAACCTACCATCTTTCTTTGAGAAGTTTCCTTTAACTGACAATCCCTCACCAACAGACGATGGCTTGTGCTCCTTTCATTCCTTCAAATCCTTCGAGTATAAGACTGATTGAACATCTTCAAAGGCCAACAAGTCTCTTCCGTACAAGAGAGTTTCTTTGAAATGAGTATGAGACTTAAGTAAAACACACAACAATAATAACGCTTGATCTTCATCATCAATCTTGACATTGATATTCTTAAGATCAAGAATAAACTTGTTGAACATATCCAGCTGCTCAGCCAAGACTTTTTCTTCACTCATCTTGAATGCATACAAATCTTGCTTCAGGTAGAGACGATTTACCAACGATTTCATCATGTACAAACCTTCAAGTTTCGTCCACACACCAACT